TCTCATTAATTCTATGTCTTGTCTGATTTCCTCTTTCATTTCATCCATTTTTTCGCCCAAATCCTTCTTCAACTCCCTTATCGCTTCTATAAACACCGCAAAATTCGCTGCCTGAATAGATGACACTCCCATCGTGAACAACTCTTCTTTCTTCTCGTCTTGAATAAAAATCACGTTCCAAAAAAAAATCCTAACACTAATTCTAACACTACCTACCCCGTAACTAATCCTATCCTAAACATCCTAATCTAATTTAAATTGCAAAAACACCCTACCAAATTCTTCCTGTCACATTTTAACAAGTTCCTACGCCTACGCATCCTACAAATTCCTATAACAATTAACCTCCACAATGGACACCTCTTTTCCCTGAAAAATGACATGTCTGGGTACCAAAATAACTTTTTACCCGAACGACAAAACAACCCTAATCTGAATTTACCTACAAAATTTTTACCTACTTTCGCGTTTCCCTGAAATTGCCCCACGTTTTTGGGCGCCAAATTATTGTTGTGAGACCTAACCTTCACTTCTGGGAATCCCACGATTTACCTCTAGCTAGCTCAGTTGTAATTAAAATGAAAACAAATTTTTACCCGCATCTCAAGGTCCAGCTGGATTCTGCCACCCTACAGCATTCCAACAATGACATAAATAGGTGGCTTAACCAAATCCTTAAATTCCAATATGAAACTTTACCCCCAGATTTAAACAACTTGAAACAACGTAAGAGACGCCGACAATTACCTCTCCTTGACTCTAATAAACAAAACCTGGATTGCAATGACTGGTTTAATTTCAAACAAAAAATTGCGTAAATTTCTGTTTTACAAATTGTTACAATTTTAAACAAATAAATAACACACACAAAAAAAAAAACAAATTACTCAAACATTACAAAAAAAACAAGACAAAACAAACCACTAACTACTACTTACTTTTAAAATTAGTCCGAAAAACGTACTCCGATAAAAAGAGGTATCCGTACACAAACACGCAAACCAAACACTCAAACACCGACGTCTTCTCTCTTCGGGTACCCACAAATTCAAAACTTCCGTGTTTCCGCAAAATAAAACAAAAAACAGAACGGCGACAAACTTCTTAAACTTTTCAAAAATTCTTCTTAAACGGCAAACAAAATTCAAATTAAACCTGGATCCACTACGCAAGAATCTTCCACAAAATTCAAAAATAACGTAACCGAAGAAGCGCCGGTTGGCTTTTTCACGACCAAAAGGCCCCGCTCTCTTCAAAAATTTCCTATTTAAGCCAAAAGCCCTTCTCCTTTCTTCAACATCCCGCCCGCCAATCACGCGAAGCGTCGATTTTTCAACTTCTTGCCAAACGGCACGTACGCCCGGCAATTCTGCGAAGAACCTTATCTCTACTTCGCGCTATACCTCGTTAACGGCAAATAAAATTTAAAAAAGAAATTTACATCGAAAAAAAATTCTAGGAATAAAATAAAAACAGAACACTTCTAAGAAATTGAACCAAAACTATAACATGAAATTTACGCAATCCTGTGTCTCAAATTATTAATAACCCCCCCGGTTAATTAATTGAACTAAACAAAATTGTCACATCCAGACGCTCTATAATTTCTTTCAAGTTACAACTAAAACAAAATAAACACAACAATACATACAATGTGTCCCGAATGTTGGGTTGCCTGTTGTAAGACAAAAAATGTCCGAACTGAATTATGAACTACTGGGGATCAGCCCTGCTTGGTAGGAAAACTAATTTCTGAAATAATTTTAGTTTCGAGAAATCAGGGGTGGCTTTGAAATTTTCAAAAAACGTTTTTTCGTGCCACTAAAGTGCGTTTGGGGACTAGATACGCACAGATTTTATGAAAGTTGTTCAGAATAAAAAACTGATCAAACGTGCAAAATTGCAAAGTCCTAGGCCTACTTTGATTGCTTTATGTTTTTGTGACTACATTTTTTTAAGCAATTCGAAAATAATTTCTTAAAAAAACTGTTCAAAATAGAATGTAATGACCGTGTAGCAAATTTGAAGGCGATAGGAACACTTCGATATTTTATTTAAAATATTATCTAATTTAGGTAAATTGCGGATTTTTGATTGAAGTGACTATCGGCTTCAAATTTGCTACACGTTCATTATATTCTATTTTGAACAGTTTTTTTAAGTAAGTTTTTTTCCGATTCCCTAAAAAACAGTTAAATAATAAAAATATACAAAAAATCAAAGTACGCCTAGGACTCGTTTACTCGGACTTCCAATTGTCCGTATCTCGTCCCCAACTTTATTGATATTTAAAAAACGATTTTTGAAAATTTCAAAGCATCATTGATTTTTCGAAACTAAAATTATGTCACAGTTGGTTTCCAGCTAGGCAGGGCTGTTCCCCAGCAGCTCAACATTCAATTCGAAATTTTTTTGTCTTTTACAGGAGAGGACCAAACAATCGGGAGACATAGTGTACAATAGCGGGCTTCCTATTCGTCCAATAATAATTATTGTAAAGCAAAATATGGCGTTCATCCGCAACCAACTATATATCTCAAAACTGCCACGAGTGCCCCTTTAAAAATGTAAACTTGGCCTATTAACATTCACCTTTAATACGTACCAAATTCCTACTTTATTGCTAAATAACCTCAGCGATAACCCCCAAAATGCACGGTGACGCCAGGGGTTATCAATCGATGCCAATGTTTCGATAAGTTGACACAAGCTAATTTGAATAGATGTCATCCCAACCATAAATTATGTTTAATGCAATTTTAGCCTCTTAAAAGTGATAATATTGATATGTATATTATCAACTATTAATTTAAATGGACGTTGTTTTTTAAAGAGAACATTCACGCTTGATGTTTGTAAACAATCACGAAGTTTTTTCTTTGCAGGGAATTGACAAGATTAACACGTATGCATATTTCTACAAAATATTAGGCAGCGATTGATCGTTTATTTATTGACCATGAGAAGTTCAAGTGAGATAAATCTCAAAATTGAGACACGGAAACTGTCTCAGGCTGCATGTTCTGGAGCCTTTATTTGATAACGTAAGATTTAAAGGATCAACCAGTCTGTTGAAGCACGAGAGATGCGTATTGTTTATTGCGAATTTAGAAATTCCTACAATTGTAAACATAGTGTAAACTTTCACCCTATGAACACCTAAAATACACTCTTGTACTATTGCCAGTCATTGTTAACGTATTTTTGAAAAAATTATATTCGTTATGGCTGGCTGGCTGTCTGGCTGTCCGCCCGAGATCTTAGCAATTACAATATAGCTAGAGACTTCAAATTTTCACTAAATGATTTCTGCTATAGTGTAGATTAGGCTTTTGAGTTAAGATTACTCGTGAAATCGATAATTTTAACCTGCTTATAAAATATTGATCTGTATTACCAAAAATGCGCTTTCATCATGCATAATTATGCTGATTTACAACTTGTTTTAGTTTTTTTGCGAAAAATAGAAAGAATATTAAATAATACGTCCAATTCTCGATTCTCATCCCGCCAATGGTTGACTTTTCTCCGATGTTCCATAGTCCATAAGGTGCAATCTCATTCACTAACGCGATCAACGCCGAGTACTATTTTCCGGGGTGATCTTTATTAGCCGATAATTCGAAAAACTATTCATTCGTAAAACGGCTTCATTTATGCAATTGAGTACATCATAAGCATAACTATGTAATTGCAGTCGAAGTTTGTCGACCTTTAGACAACTTAATTCACTACTTTGCAATACGACCATTACGTTAATTGATGTTGCAAGCAACTTTTCAAACTAATAACAACGCATTGTTCTCATTTATATAGCTAATGCTCACATATTGTTATTACCGATTAGTAATGGGTAGGTACTACGTCTTAATACACAAATAATTAAAAACAAATTAAACATCGTATTTTGCGTCTGTAGCCTGTCCTTATGTAACAATGGTTATAACCTAGCTGGGGGCAAGGTTGCGATGTTTACTTAGCTTTATAACAATACTTGATCACGTACGATGTTCGAATAAGGTAAACGTTTTGCTGTATTAGTTTTTATCGATGCCGTTAACTTCTTCAACAGTATTACATTCGCAATAACGTTTATGATATTGGGTTTTAAGCACCACTTCACTCCAATTACGAAATAGTTTCGATGAGTTTTATTTTCGTCGATCTTTATAGGTTTCCTTCCGTAATTTTTATTCAATGGTATATCGCAGTATATGGATGCCCTTTTAATTTAAGAGGGTGGTTCAATTTCGCGGTCACCATTGGAATCTCCGTAACGATGAGAGATACAGTGTACCTATAGGTTAAATGGGGATAAAGTTACCCCTTTTTGTGACTAAAAAACGCATTGGAAATTAAATTTCGTTTTCATGAACTTAAACGATCGAAAATGGACAGGCTGTTACTTTCTTATTTCTTATGAACGCCATATTGTATTTTTACAGAATGAGCTAGAGGACAATAAAAGAAATCGCTTTGAATGCATAGCCATGTTGATTCAGTAAAATCTATTACCCGTAAATGTATTGTTGAGAAATGCATGTAAAACATTTGATTTTGAAATTTTTCTTGTACAGGGTGTAAATCGAAAAGTGGAACATAGGCGTTTAACATGGGAAATAACTTTTTCTTTGCGCAATGTTCCACTTTTCGATTTACACCCTGTACATCTAGGTAAAAGTACCTATAGTATAGCTGTAGAGTGTGTCACGGCATTATTGCTTTGTCCTCTATTTCATTCCGTAAAAATCCAATACGGTGCGTGTAAGAAATAAGAAAGCTCGTAGTAAAGTGTAGCCTTTGAGTCAGATTCTCTGAAAACAAGTGCCCGTAGATTCTAACGGGAACCGTCCATTTGCGATTATTTAAGCTAGAGAAAATGAAAACGAAATTTGAAATTTTCAATTCTTCAGCGATATCTCAGTTACACTGAAATAAATCTTGGACACGAATAACAAAATCAGACATGAAGACTCTATCTGAGTCGCTTAAAGGATTCGATAAAACACACAATTAATTGATTGACAATTACAAACATATTCCGAAACACGTGAAACAATGAAAACAAAATCTCTACAAGAATGGAAAGCTTACAAAGCTTGTTTGGAAACAATACCCCCCGCACGCACACGGTAAATAATTACTGATCTTTAATAATTTAAATAATCTGGTCGTAAAAGTTTACGCTATTCAGGCGCACTTATCAAAGACAAAATACTCGCCGAACGCCTCAGGAATTTTCACTTTTTTTTAAAAATTAAACTGGATTTTGATAAATATGATGAGAAAGAACCTTGAAAGAATTGAAAGACAAACATTTTAGAAAGTTTTAACTGTGCTGACAACTGCTTTTGTTTATTCACACTCGAACTATTTTTTTTAACACAGAAGACCCGTTTCAAAAAACTTTCCAAAAATGTGTACTACTTCACTTGACGATAATTTAAATCTTTAATTAACTTCTTCTACGCACTACGAACTGCGTCTTCAACAAAACCATTAGGGCAGACTACTCGAGATTTTGCGTAAACAAATTTACACGCTCTTTAACCGTCGTGGAACTCTCATTAATTGCATCGATTTCGAATTCGAGATGATTTATTTATTAA